TAAAAAAAAAAAGAAGACATTTTACTTGCTTGTGCTTGGTAGAAATATGTAATAAATTCAATCACAGCTGCTGCTATAAGACTGCAGGTTTTTCCCCCTGTATTTTGGTTCCAGGCCACAGTGAGACAATTTTTTTATCTTGAAATGAAATAATTGTTATATTTTAGTCTTTTTTTAAAGCACTGACATTTTTCAAGTACAATAGGATTATTTTTTTAATGCTGAGCATACATCATCATGAATCATTCTTGAAACGGATTTAAATTGGGCAATCTGTACAATCTTAAACAAATCTGAATCTTTGAAAATGAATTATTCGTTACTTTGCAAAAAAACAAATTATACAACAATCAAACTTTGAGATAAAGCATGAATTTATATTTATAAATTTAGTCATGATAAAGATTAACAAACAACTGAAAAAATATATGTAGAAGCAACAAATTTAGTAATTACTATCAGTTATAAATACAGATGTTCCTGCTTGTAACCTCAATCCAGAACAGTTAATCTATTTCTAAAGCATTATAGTTTATTTTTGTTCAGTTGATTTAAATGTGCACACATCTGTGTTAAAAGTTCATTTTTCAAAAGGCAATTTTCTGGATTTTTATAATATGATGTGATATGGAGCCTGCAGTTTCTGAGTGCAAACACAAAGGAATGCAAGTAGAATGCAAAGAGACAAAAAGAGAGAGAAAAAATTCTTTTCAAGGTTTTAAATCTCCTTTGCTGTATAAATATTTTTAGAAATTTAAATGATCTGATGTCAACTGCTCAGTTATTGAATCAAGTCGAAACGAGTAAAATGCTGTAATGTAAGTAGCACACATTCATCACAGGTTCAAATTCCTGGGCTGGCTAATTTATTTGTTATTATTTAGTTGTATATTGAATGCATATTTCTATGTACACAATAAGAATTAAGCTGCTTTGAAATTGATATACATATTAAGTATGCAGTACTTTAAATTAAGTAAGAAATAAACTGTTAATTTTTATCTCTTTTATATACCAATCTAAACAAAGAAGTAGTTTCTATCTCATGACACAGAAAGAGAAAAAACTATTGAAGCCACTTCAAAAAGCAGATATTCGATAATTATATGAATAAAATTCTTTTACGGTAGAATTTCATCTGGAAATTCTTAATATTAGACTGAATGTTTTTTTTTTTAAATATTAATCTTTCCTTTCCAATTAATTTTATTTTTTGCTAGAATATACAATAAAATAATTCTTGCATATCTCAATGCTCCTGAGTTTCACAACAAATATCTAAGAAATTATCTTTTATACGAGTAGGCTAGTGCAGAAAAAGAAAAAATAGGGAAATACAAAATAAATAAATAAATAAAAAAAATGAATAAATAAATTAAAAATCACACTTCTGTTATAAATGCTACATGAATGTAAAATTAAAAGTTAAATAGTATATTTACCCTTTTGAAAATCCATTTTAGTTTTAATCAAAAGGCATGTAATATTTTGAGAAGCTTGATCCCTGAGACATCTACAAAATGATCACCCATCAGCTCTGCTGCAAAGTATCATATTTACTACCCTTGAATAACGGAGGATTGACATGTCTGAGGTATACAGATTCCAAATTCCAAATCTGAGCTTATTTCTTCTTCTTCTTTTCCTTTTCTGATTTTTTTGTAAAATTGTGATGAACACAGGTAAAGAGAGAAGGAACAAGAGAAGGATTTGAACAATGAACAGAAAAACAGTAAGGAGTGGACCGTGCGCTTGCTAGTAGCATATGAGTACATGGGGGCAGCCATTTAGGGTGCTAGGAATTGTGGATGAAGAAGTTTGATAGCAGGGGTCAGAGTGAAAAACGCTATACTTTAAGGGTTGTTATCGCCTGATATGTAAAGATATTTAGCCTTGAAGGAATATTTTAAAGGAACAATGCTTGCACATTGGCAGAAGCATTGTATTTAAAATGAATATAGTAAATTTCAGATCTCTATTGTGAATGCAGTTATAGTCTTCCCACTACATAATTTTTAGTCAGGCAAGAAAATTATTATGAATCAAAGAAAGAAGTGAATGAAAAGGTGCAATACTTAAACATTGTGTCTTTTTTTTTTTTTTTTTCTATATAAGGTTCCAAACACCAGGTGGTTAATATTTTCTGGGTCCTTAATTTGAATGTCAGGAGTTTAATCGTTCAAATAACTATTGTTTTGTTTCATCTCCGAAACCACAGCTGCTAAGCTTCTCATTCAAACGCATAACAATAGCATGCCTGAGTTTCTTAAGCATTGACTCAAGCACATTACTGAATAAACACCCTTTGACACAGATCATATGACAGTTAATTGGAATAAACTTTACCTTTTAACACTTTGAATCATACATACACACACATATACATACATACATACATACATACATATGCACACACATGCATAGATCTACCTTTTATGTAAATGTTTATACACTGACTCAGTTTAAATTTACTTACTTTTACTACGCATTTTTTGACCAATTTTATTTATACCATTAAAAATATATCTAAAGAATGAAATAATATATTTCTTTCTTCATTTTTTAAAAATATTTCTTTTGGTTACTATACATATTCCCACAGCATTTTTTTTTTTTAAAGATATCACATTTTTTATTTTTATTTTTTTATTATTATTGTAAAACTAATTCATTGAAGTTTTTATATTAGTAGTAGTTGTAGCAATAATAATAATAATCAAAACTTCAGAAAACTAGTTTTACAATTCTTTTGCTTCATACTATTGTATGATAATATTTCTACTCAATATTTTATTTATTTTTTTGGGTGGTGGCATTGGGGGAGGGTGGACAGATGAT